AGATTCTTCGTATCAACACCAAGTACAATATCCTTTACCTCCTGGGAAATTGTCCAGGCAAAAAGGGAAGCTTCATTACAATTCAGGATTCTTACAAGCCACACGAACACCCTCCTCCCTTCCCTACTTATTTCCCAGATCCCCAGGATCCCCTCCCTGAGGATATGTTTGCAGATGATGTACAACAGTTTGATGAGACAATATTTTTCACAAAACAGGACCAAGCCAATGAAGCTGCACAGGAAAATGCTTGAAGATATACAACTATAGTTTACTAGTGGTTTACCAAGTCTATGTGTGGTTTTCATTCAGAGGGAAGGAAAAAACACCACCTTGTCACTGCAATTAAGAATGATACAAGCATGGATGAAAAAAAACTGCAAGTGTGATCTGTGCAGGGTTTTTACCGATTCTTGACCTCTAGGAAAACTATTGACCTATTGACATTTGCTGAGTAAATTTTAATAGTTGGAAAAAGTATGGAAAATAAAGTTTTTAAAGATAGGAAGTTTGAAGTCTCTTCCTTGTTGTAACTTGTGTTCAACTTATTTGTCACTCCTGTGTGCACAGGGTTTCCCTTTTCTTTGGCCACCATGCTCCTCAAAGGATTTCAACCAACAGAACTGAAAATTTTGGGTTACGTGACTTTGGGTAAGACGACTTGCCCTATTCAAATTGTCACCTTTGATTTTAGTTTCACGCTAAAAACTTGATCACCCCTCCTCCTCAACTTGTGATTCTCAAAGTTGCCAGCATCCTCCAACACTAGATTTGCCTTTTAAGACACTTTAAATGAGTTTTTAGCTGGTTTACTTGCAGCAATAGATTGAAGTGACTTTTATAATGCTGTTGCTGATACAAAAGCAGCTTACAATGGATGTGAAGTGAAGTTCGTGTTATTCTGATGACTCATGCATTTTTTTCTTAAAACGCAATTTTGTTTTGGTCACCTCTGGAAGTTACAGGGTTAAGAATCTAAAAGCTTGACTGTGCCTGGTAGTATTAGTATTGATTCTAGACCTTCCACATTTTGCTCTACTGTTTCTTTAGCATGCAGAACAGGCATAATTGTATGGCATTTTCAAGGAAAAAAAAGATCAGTGCAAGGTGAGGAGCAAAAAACATTGTTAGTTGGATAAGGGCTTAATTAGTGGGAACCAGAACCTTATGACCTATGACCTTATAACCAAGGGTTATAGGCTTTTGTCAGAACTGATAAGGAGATCATAAAGAGTTTTGAGTGTGTTTTACACTGGGCAAAGATGGCATGGCTTGGGCTACATAGAGCCTGAGATGTACTACCAGTAAGGTAGAAGGTGGTGCTGTGCAGCTTTTAATCATATGCTGTTAGTTATCAAATTACTATGATCATGTGGTTTTCTTCCTAATCACTAATAGTTCTTGACTGGACACATCAAAGGTGGAATCAAAGGCTACATACACAAAATTGGATTTATTTCAAATATTTTTATAGGGCAGCATTGCACTCTTAAAGAGCATGGTAGATAATGGAAGGGAGGAATTGAGGTCTCTGTGTTTCCAGCTCCTCCCCCCCTCCCCCCTCCCTCTTATCTGGGGAAAGTCAGGCAAAAAACAGTTTGACTGCTATCACAATTAAGAATGTGTTATTGTTGCTTCTGTCTTGTGGCTTTGAATCTTGAAAGCTTCTTTCCAGGTTGGGATGTGCCTGACTGTTCATAAAAGAAGAGTAAATATAAATTTATCTGTAAGTGGAAGTCTACAAAATCGACTTGCATATAAAATCATGTTGGCAAGCATATGTAGATTAAACTTAACTGACAGTAACAAAAATTGTTGCTGTTATTATTTGATCTCCTTCAGAGATATATTGGACAGTCTGAAGTATTTCACCCATTCTTCCTGACAAAAGAAGAATATTTTCATACCTGCAAGTGAGAACTCTCTTGTCTGATCATCTGCACAGCAGGCTTTTCAATTATACTCCCTGTAAATGCCTGATCAAGGTACAGGCAAAAAAAGTAAGTTAGAAATTTGGTATCAATGCATACTTAAAAACATGCACTTCAACAAACCAACATATTGGCAAGGAAAATTAAGATTTAGTTCTTTAGTCATCCATCACAAAACCATGGTTCTAGAAACACTGGTGCTTGGTTTTCAGAATCAAGAATATCTGCCTTGAACTCATATCAAAGTTCTCAGCATAAGCATGGAATTGAATCATCATTAAACCAGGCAAGTACACATCATCACTTACATGTGCCAGCTGTAAAAACTTAACCCCATAGAGTCCGTAGATGATTCTTTCACTTGGTGTAGAATGAGTCAACTGGGAATAACATTACATCCTCCACTCCCCTCCCCCAGTTCCACCTCCCTTCCTCCCCCCACCCCACACACACATGCACACATTCTCACCAATACCATTTTATACTCTTGGGTGGAGAGGGTACTGTGAAAATTGTGTCATGCATAACTGCCCCAGCACAGGTTCACATGTAAATCCAGTCCCTTCACACTGAGGGTGTGAAGGGACTGGATCCATCAATTTGCCCAGCCCTTTTGCAGTGGAAGGAAATTTCATAACAGTAAACCTTTTGAAAATTGAATCATGTACTGATGCAAGATGTACCATAACCTCTGTAGGCTGTATTCCTACCCTTTTCTGAATTAACTGTGCAATCTCCCAGTGTATGAGCTCATTTACCACTGAACAATAAAACATTAAAAGTTTAACCCTTTAATCCCACAGAGTGACAAGGTTCTAATTTCTCTTTACAATCTATCCCTTGAATCAAATTAAGGTATCAAATTAAAGGAAATGATTGGCAAATAACAAAGCTTGTGATGGTTTTACAAATTCTCCTTGTTTGAACCTAGGAAATGTATAGAGAACAGTATGAAGAATATGCATTATGATGTTAAGTCTAAAGAGTTAACACCCTCCCAACTGCTCCAATTGATCCAACTAACCTTCTGAGAGTCAAAGTCTGCTATCTGCGTGTTATCTTTGACAATATCAGAAGGAAATTGCTGTGTAGTAACAGATTTCTCTTCTTCAAAGTTTTTTTTGTCTTTTTCTTCAGCAGAAGGCCTTCTCAAAATGGATTTTAACTCTTTTTTAGAAGCAAACTGTGAGTAGATGTCTGCTGGGCTTGTAACAGTAAGTTCTTCACAAGAATCCTTTGGAGACTGCAAGATATGAGAAAATAATTTAATCAAAGTCAAAGCACCAACTCCAGTATAGCATAAGGTCAGAACAATTAGATTTTTTACATCTTTTCCTCTCAATACAAATACCAACTCAAGAGGCAACATGAGTGTGTGGTTAGAGCACTACACTGTACTTGTAATCGGAGTGCTACACTGTACATCATTATCATTATCATTGTATATTAACCCTTTCAATTTCATGTGTAACAAAAACCGAATTTCCCCTTGCAATTTCGATAAAGTTGCAGGCAGAAGGATGTTGAGAAGTAAGAAACATATCAGGTAGTGCATACCATCAGATTTAACACAATACTCAGAGCTAAAAATTGTATGAATGTACAGCTCAATGTAGAGAATTGAAATTTAGATCTCTGGAATGAAAGTGATAACAGGTATTTAAACATCAACACAGTACAATAAAAACTTATACTAACCTTCCCTTGTGAGTGCTCTGATGAAGAGCTAAACTTGACTGAAATTGTGGTCTGTAAATCATCACTATCATGATTCTCATCATCATCCTCACTTGTAGTGGAATCCGTTGAGCTTACCACAGTCTCATCCTTAACATCATGTATCTCCCAAGTAACTTTCTTTTTGGTTTCATTTGTTTTGTCTTTATGATGAAGTCCCCATCTTGCATCTCCTTGTATGTTTGTGTGTTCACCTGTGGTTATGCTTTTTTCATCACCAGAATCATCCTTCCCAACCTGGTCTAGTTCAGCATTCTTAGTTTCCTTTTCTTCCAGTTCATCTAGTCTTGCAAGCAAAGACAAGTCTTCTGAAGACACTTTTTGTACCTTATTTCCTTTCATTGTTATTGTATCCTTTTGATCACTCTTAAGTCCTTGAACTTTCTTCGTACCACCAAATCTTTCAGCCTTAGGGTGTGCCTTTCGTAAATGATGAGCTACCAATAAATAAAAGAGTGACTTCTAAACAAAAAGCAAGCAAGAGTCAACCATGACATTACAAATTCCTGCCCACCTACTGGCATGATATAAATAATTTTCATCCAGGTTTATTTTCTGACTTTCAGTTCATCAGACCACACCAACATGGGGTACAATATGTGCCCTCTGGGTTAAATCTTTAGAACCTCATCATAAAGTCATCCACCTCAAGTCTCCCTACTACCTACTGTACAGTTCCTTGTAAATTAGACAGTAAAATTTGGTGTAATGATAACATGGCACCCTCTTGCTGGAAATCACTGCTACTCTCCTCACCTGTTTGCAAGGTAACATATTGGAATTGCAAAGAGAAGTTACAAGTTGATCACTTTCTGACGGTTAAAGAGTGAAGCTTATTTCAAGTTTCACTTAATCAAAGGTGTAACTGAGAAGGTATCATGGGGTGCATTTGAAATAGACTCCCCTCTCGTAATCCCAATTTGTGAACCAGTGGAATTCAAATATTCCAGCCCCATCAAATAAGTAAAACTTATTTTTATCAACAGCTCTCAAATTAACTCTTTAACTCCCAGAATTGGTTTTAAAAGATGAAATTTCTCCCTATGAGATCCAAAAATTATCCACCAAACAGTTAATGAGAATACTGAAACTTATCACACAGAAGGTGTTACTATCATCTAACACTAAATTCTTATAACTAATTCAACAGGAAATGTGTAACATCTAGAGGGGAGATTAACCCTTAAACTCCCATGAGTGACCAAGAGAGAATTTCTCGTTACAATATCAACACAATATTATGCAGACAAGTGATGAGAATAAATACATAAAAATATCAATTAGGGGATTATAAGTTGATCCAATATCAAATTCTCCAAACTAACATCAAAAAAACTGTATAGCAGAAAGTAAGGACAATTACTAATGAGATTGTGGGAGTTAAAGGGTTAACAATCACATTGAGAGTTCAAGGGTTAAGTTTAAAAATGAATATAGAAGTTTCTTGAGAAAAAAAAACAAGAAAAAAATCTCACTTGAAAATCTCTCCTCCTCTTGTGATGAAAGCTCTTCTTTGATTTCTCTTACATCTGCATTTTCCTAAGAAACCATAATAAGTGAAAGGAAAAATTTCATGCATTTCTAGCACAATTTCCTCAGACTAATTTATTTTTATTGTTTATTCACAGAGATAGAATGGCTATTTGAGCAAAACAGCTAGTATTAATGTTGCATAATTTTCAGAATGTGAACAGTTCAACACTGAATTTCAGGATAAGCATGGAAATATTTGTCATCATTAAATTATGCAACCTACCTGTATGCAATAAACATGTATTTTCCCACAAAGACTTTACCATATCCAAGTTCCACTGAATTAGCACTGCATCTTAATATTTACTCAATAAAATAACATCTCAATGTAATTTTTAAGTGTATAAATTATTGCACTTTACCTCTGCAATGGACTGAATTTCTGAGGCAAAGTTTACTGCTGATTCAAAATTCTTCAAGTCTTCCTTAATCCCAGCAATATTTTTCTCCAGATCTAACAAAGGAAAGATCGTCGTAAATACATGCGAGTGAAGCCTCTAGGAGTTGCATGGCATAATTTGGTCTTGATCTAAACAAACTGATACAAATATACCAAAAGAAGAAACAAAACAATGTTGTGTTAATCTCCTTCTGAGATAGACCAGTTAAAAAAAAATAATATAAAATTTTTAACCCATGATCTCATTAGAAAATCTCCTTACTGTCTGTTATATAATAATTATGATGTTACTTTAGAGAATTTGGATTTGAATTAACATATAGTCACTTAATTGATATTTTTCTTTATTCTCATTCCTTGCCTGATTCATATTGTATTAATATTGTAGGGAGAAATTCTGTCTTGGTCACTCCTGGAGTTAAAGGGTTAAGCGTATAAAGTGGTTTCACTTATACTGTGAACTAAAAACACACTTGGATGGCACATTTATGTATCTTTATGTAACCCATATAAGAAAATGACACTTTTCAGTTGAGCAATAAATTTGAATGGTTTTCAGTTCATCAGACCAAACATCATTAGGTGCAAAACCTTCTGTTGGCTAAATCCTTACAAAGTCATCATCAAACCATAAAGACCTTATAGCACCAAGTCCTTTACAACTCCAAATGCACCACAAAATCATTAACCCTTTAACTCACCAGATCTGTTTGTTAATTCTTCTCTCTAGCTGCTAGACATTTCCATATAAATTAGTTACAAGAATTTGGTGTTAGATCAAGTTTGGTGTTAGATCAGTTTGAGTATTCTCATTACCCGCTTGCTGGGTATTGTATGGATATTGTAGGGAGAAGTTGCATGTGAATCACTTCTGGAAGTTTAAGGGTTTAAAGAGAAATACAGTATATACCTATCCATGCAACATCCCAGCTCACATACAGACCAAATAAAAAGCAAGACTGACAAAATGCAATTTTCTACGAGTCCTCCATCATCACAAAACATTACCATGTACATGAAGTTAAAGACAGTACATTTTTTTCGTCTCTCCACCATTTCAAGAGCTTGACTGGCCGAACGCTCAGCAAACCAATTGTCTCCAAGAAGCACTATAATCTCATTAGTGTGAATAAGTCTTCCTGGCATAAAAGCCACAGATCCAAATGGAACCTGATGACAAAATTATTTTTTTTTTAAAATTCATCATAGTCTATATCATTTTCACCTAACATTCTGTTGTCAGAGTAAATGTAACCTTAGGACTTGCATGCATTAACCCCATCAATACCCTTAGAAGCCTAAGAGCTGCTGAGAAAATGAATGTCTCTTCTATGAATAGCCTAATTCATACACTCTGAAAAGCATGAGCAAACCACAAAATAAAGTAAAAAGGGGGGTAAGTTCCTAAAAAGACTGTTGCGCTGTGTCGATGGGAGAGTATAACAAGGTAATTTTGTTTCATCAACTGAGTTGATAACATAAACTGGCAACTGTAAAGATTTTCAAAGCTGATGTTTCAAGCATTAGCCCTTTATCAGAGCAAAAGACACGGGGCTAACGCTCAAAAAGTCAGCTTTGACACTCTTAACCATAGCCAATCTATGTTATTAACTTAGTTAATAATACCAAATTACCTTGTTAAATATAGAGTGCTTCTTCGGGTTTCTATAAATTTTGCTTGAGGTACAGGTATGAGTGCAAGTCAATGAGGTGTGTACTTAATGGACTAGAGATCCTTGTTCCCGTGGTTTCAAAGAATTTAAAACTTTACTACGATATTCAAACGCTTCCTCCCCTTCCACGACCAAAACTCACCATAACCTCGTGGGATGTTTTGTTTGGAAGAGTCTGCAATAGAGCCTCAAGTTTTTCATAGTCTTCCTTGAATCTCTCACTGCATGACATATAAAAAAAATTGATCACAACCCTGATACATATATGCACAAAATCGCGTAGAAGAAGTCAAACCAGTGAAAAGAGTCCCGAATAAGGAAAGTGTCTTGTAAATTCCATACCACGTGAGCAGCCGTTGTTGGCGTTCCAGCAAAGCCTAAAATGATAGTTCGAAAATTTATTTAAAATGAACGCATTATTATCTTTTGCAGTCTATAATTCTGCCCTTACCTTTTTATTTTCTTCTTTAAAGCGTGATATTTGCGCGAATTCCGACATTGTCGACAAAAAACTGTCCTAGCTGAATTACATCGACTTTACCCGTGATCATCCGCCATGCTTTCTTCTTGAAAATTGCACATCACCCCCCAGAGGAAGGGAGGATGGTCACGGCATTACCCATAGTACAACAGTATCAATGAGTTAATAAATGGCGGTCGATTCGGGGAACGGTTGTTTACAAATTTTAAAATATTTGTAGGGGACAAATATATTAAAAAGGCGGGATCTGCTACCTTTATCAACATGGAGAATTACATACTGTACGACG